TTATGTTGTGAGGAATTAACACCCTCTACTAAAACCAGCCCTCCTTAGTAAGTGTTCTTTTTGATGCAACTATTGTGCGACTCTCAAAATGCAGCAAATGCAATCATAACTTCAATCCAAATCCGATCCGATCCGACACACGCTCTTACATTCTCATTTAATTTCCTTTCATATAAAAACTATAGTACTCCTCCGGTCCTTATTATAAGACCCAATTTGACTTTTTATTTGGTTCTAATTATAAGACCCAATCCATTTTGTCTCTTATATTTATGCATTTTTTTCCAAGATAATCCTTCTAATAATGATAGTTTTAGCCAATATACTTAATTAGCAAGGATATTTTAGGAATGACAACACTTATTTATTATAAATAACCAACTTAACTTACTTCCTTAATTTCCTCAAATAAGTCAATTGGGTCTTATAATTAGGACCGGAGGAGTATTTATTAACAATGTGATTTATTTTGTTAACTTTTAGCATTATAAAAAATTTAATTATATACTAAATCAAAATTTTCTGTTCGGACAAAAATCTCAACCTTCTGCAATAATAATTTGTTAACGGTTAATTAAGTTAATTTATCAGTATAAAATATAAATTTCAACCTTATCGTAAACTTCATGCAATTATTGTTTATTTCTCAATTATTCTGTACACATTGATTCCAAAGAAAGATATCTTGACACATTTCAATAAGATTTATGTTAGAAAAATAAGTATAATATTCAAATTATTTTTGTTGTTGTTATTTATATTGTGACAAACAAAATGATATTAGTATTTTCTTATAATACATATTTTTACCAATAAGATTTTGCATTTGCACTTTTCGGAACAGTGTTTTTTGACCGAAGGCATTTTTCTAACCGTCTCCGTCTTCCATGGCTTCCACCGTTCCTTCGCTTCAAGCTTTCTTCGTCCTCTCTTGGACTCTTCTCCTTGCCACAGAGTCACCACCGCCACCTCCAACGGCTTCGCCGTCGACGTCACCAGCGCCGACCTGCACGGACGAGCTTGTTTTATTTTCTCCATGTCTTTCTTACGTTGCATCTCCGCCGAACGACCTTGCCGACGCCGCCTCCGCTAACTGCTGCAATGCTTTATCCGCCGCCGCCAAGTCGGGCACCGCCGTTTGCTTCTGTTACCTTCTTCAGGAACCTCCGATCCTTGGCTTTCCTCTGAACAGTACGCGACTTCTTTCACTGTCTTCGGATTGTCCTCTTGCTAATCTGGAATCTGCTAGGGCTCCGTCATTCAATTCTCTGTGTGCAGGTTAGGATTCTTGGATCTCAGCTTCTTCTTTTCTTGATTATTCGAGCTAATCTTCCTCGAAACTTGAAAGATTTTCTTGCATTCCAAACACACTAGTGATTGTTTCTGAAAAAATTGTTAACAAATACTTAGCAGAAACGAATAATTAATTAATGACATTGTTTTTCGCCTTTTATTAATCCATACAGAATCGCCGGCTCTTCCTCCTCTGGACAACTCTGCAACTTTAGGGCTCACAGTTCCTTCTACTTCTGGTGGGTGATCGATCGATAATCTTGAAATCTTCACTCACATGAGTTTGTTTGCTTCAAAGAATCACATTGATTAATTTTTTGTGTTAAAACTAATATCAGTTATTTCTCCGATGCTGAAATTCTATTAAAAATGAATCAATGAACATTGAACATTTATATTCTTGTGGATAGTGTGGCATTATATTAGTCAACTATTTTAATGCTATTTTTGGCTGGGATATTTCAATTAAAGCAAAACATTTTTTTTTGAACGATATGAATATATAGTTCGGCTTTATTAAGTTATCTATGGAACAAAAAGTTATGTTTTTTGGCCACATACAGAACAAAAAGTTTAAGTCTGTCGTTAGTGACGGTATGTTTTCAAGCAATTATTATGAAAGGTGAAATATAACAATGTGATTTTCTCTTGGTCGTAGAAAGAAAAATTGTGATTGAAATGAGAAATTAATAGATCCAAGTAACAACATTGCTTTAACAAAGTAAATTTATAAGTTATACATATTTTTAATGTTAAAAAAATAGAAGAACAAGAAAATTTATACTTTTCACTCTGTTTGGTGTGAATGAAATGGAGGAGAAGGAAAGGAAAATTTTTTTTAATAACTTTGATTTAAAAAATTGAAGGAGTGGATTGAAAGCCTTTAATTATTATTATTATTATCTATCATATATCTTATTTCTATTAAAATTTTATTTTAAAATTTTTAAATCGAACACATTAAAATTTTTCTTTTGGTATTTATATATAGCCCTTTCTCTGGTTCCTTCAGTGTATTTCCCTTGAAGGAAAAGGAGGTAAACTGATATTTCTTATGTAGTTGATATCATAAAATAAGGGTTTTCTATAAGCTAGATTGGCAATCCCATATTCTCACGGTTTGAGAAGCAGTTGCTGTAAATATTATACATAGCGTGTATATATTATATGGGTCTGCGATAACAATATATATATTCATTATACATGTGTGTATGAAAAAGATTTGTTTCATTACGTACCTTATTGTTTGTAGCAAATATAATGTTATTAGGATCAAGAAGTGGGGCATCTTCTTCCCAGGCGATAATCCCAACCAAAGGAGGTGGTGGCAGCCGAGGCGGCGGTGGCGGTGGCAGAGGGGGCTCCTCCAGTAGGCGTGGCGGAAATGGGTCAAGGGCGAACAGAGGAGGGAGCTCTGGAGTGAACGGAGCAGGTGCTCACAGTGGGGACAGTTCATCTGCGACACAGATTTGCAGGAGCACAGGTTGGCTGCTACTTTCTCTGCTTATGACCAACATGTTCTGCTGATGGGAATAATATAAAGAGCTTCATTAGCTTATCATCTTCCTTCCTTCCTTCCTTCATCCATTCATTACCATCCCCATCAAATACTGTTATTGTGCCAAGGGCCAACTAGTTGTTTAGTGCTTGATACAAAATGTTTCATTTAGCTTCATCTTTCTTTGTTTTTTCTTTTTCTCTTTAGGGGTTCATATAAACTTTGGTACCTTAAGTTTGTCTTCATTTGATTTTAATCGCTCAAATTTAAAATCATAAGTTTTGATCCTGCAAATTTCTCTTTACTTATAACATTAGTTCTCATAATCCAATAAAAATTTAGATCATTTTGTTCCTTGAGGAATCAAAACTTAAAGTTTGAAACTTTAAAGATCATAATGAAACTTCCAACCAAAGTTTACCAAATAGATTGGTGGCTCCATGATAAAAATGGGATTTCCAGTGTTATAATGTGAAAACCAGACACTTTTTCTTATGTGCAATTTGAGACTGGTTATATGGTATATAATTCATGAATACTAACGGTTTTAAAAGTTTTTTTATTTTATATTCATACTGTTTGCGTTAACATGGTTGTCCAAATGTGATAAAGTAGGAGCCGATTTGGGGACCCCAGCAAGTTAATCATGACCTTTTGTTTTATGGAATCTTTGGCAATGAATTTTGGTCGTGGTTGCATGAAAAAAACAACTGTGTCTATTTAATCATATAATTTTATACAATACTTTATTTTTCTCTCTTAACTTTATAGAGTGTACATTCAGTTCTTTTAACTTCATCACGGTTAACAAAAATTTTAGATATTGAAAATTCAAACGTGGACAAATTTTTTAAATGCAGACGTATTAAGTATAGTTTTTAAAAGAATAATAATTATTACAAAAAAATCATCATTTAAAATTGAAAATATACTTTTTAAAATTAAAAGATTAAATCAAAATTTTTGTATAAAATTAAAAAACCAAAAATGTATTTTTTTAATGAAACCAAAAATTTATTTTGACCTAATAGGTATTATAGAGATATTGAGATAGCAACGGTCAACGGATAAATGAGCCAAGAAAAAAAAAGTGATAATTGGAAAAGGAAATTGTTATTGACAATGCAAAGTGAAATTATCATCATACCTTCACTAATAAATCAAAATTACAAAAAAAATGCTGTGAGAAGAAATAGTTTTTATAATTTTATAAAAAATACATTCCTAAAATTATTATTTTGCTCTTAAAAAATTTACTCTTTAAATTTTTATTCAATATTTGCAAAAGATATTTTTCACTAATTTAAAAATTGATAATGAATATTCTAATATATTTTTACTCCAAGACTATTATGTTCTTTATGATTTATATCATTATCACCCAATCAAAAATCAACACAAAACCAAAAAAGTACATTCCTTTCCATAAGTTCAATAATTTCTTTAGAACTAACTTCTTCCTGTTTTTAATTGAACATGGATCTATTTTCATTGTACTCCAGCGAAGTGCTCCCTTTGATATTAAATGTATGAGCTAATTAAAAATTATGCAAATTAATAATTCAAAAAAATGTGTGCTATTTTTTTTTAAAAAAATACTTCTCCTAACATAACCCACACATTATGCAATAATTTGTCTTTGTCAAGACGCAAGAATATAATTATATGAAAATTTAGCCAACAAAAAAGATAATAAAATGAGAAACAAGAGAATTATGGTCTTAAATTTAGAAATTTTTTTTCTCTCCAACTACCTCCTTTTGTTTAGAAGAGGAGAGAGTGAAACTTGCAATGGTGTATAATTCATATAAAAAAGATACTTTGATAAAAGTACTAGTAATGAAATCAGACATAGAAAAAGATTATTTTCGTTTTAAATATTTTTATACAGATTAGATTTATATATTCATATTGAACAATTTTTAATTATGAAAATATTTTTATTTTTATTTGAATCCCTAAATTTAATTAGGTTGGATGAGAATGAATTGGAAAAAAAATGTATTAATCTTGAAAAATCACTGGTTTCTAATTTTAGTTGACTAAAACCATGAGGGCAAATTTCATAAACTAAAAATAATATCACTCAAGTAGAAAGAGCCTAAGAGGATTCAAGAAAAACAAATACTTGATCTAGCTCGTATTCTCCATCAACCCTATCCTTTAACAAATTATAATGAACGACTCGAAATGGTCTCCCAGACCATCAAGAACGAAATCATCTTTTTGATAATCTCTTATACATAATCCATATAATTGTCTTCGGTTTCAATCAATTCAAACATTTGAATGGATTGGCAGGAGACTCATTCCCCATTCAAGTATTGTTATCTCTTTTCTTTTCTTTTTTCCCAAAGAAATTAAAATCAAGCAGCTTCATAAACTGTCAACGTAAGTCCACAGATAAGCGCTTTTAAGTATTCCTACACCAACATTTGCAGACATGCCCCAAAGTACACATAAACACTAAAGTGAAAAAAGGTAAAAATTAACAGAAGGGGAAAAAACAGAGAGAGAATTGACTGCGACTTAGGCTGGGGGAGCAGAAGTCTCCTTGACTGATTCACGCCATGCATACTCTCTTGCTCCATCCTTATCGACGATCTTTATAACAAAGTTTGGTGGGGCCACAACCAGCCTGGATCTTATTTCCAAGATGCACTTATCAACCAAATCAATCGCTTCGTCCAGTGACATTCCACTGTGAAAGTGTCTGTCCATGGTTGAGAGTGAAAAGTAGGAGCCATAACCAAAAGCTCCCTTCTCAACCTTGTGAAGTGAAGCAATGTAGTCAATGTAGTACAGGGAGGGACCTGTCTCTTTGTCATAGCCAGCAAGTAGGATGTTCACAAAGTATGGACTCTGATCCAAATCAAGTTCACACAGAAAATTAACTCATCATCCATTATTAAGGTGATACATTAACTGCAAATAGAATTTATAGAGAACAAATTTGAACAAACTAAAAAATTTAGCCTGCACGCCTTGCTGATTGATAAGGATCTATCACAGACGTACCGCTTCTAAATCATACATCAAAACAACTTTAGCTAGAGGGACTTCAAGAATGTAACCGATATCCCACTTCTGTCTCCGCATGCCATCGAAGAGTGTGTGTGTGTGTGTGGGGAACAAGTGTTTTTTGAAAAAAATTCTTTTACTAAGAAAAATGCTGAATTTTCTATAGTAAAAGAAAATAAAAAACAGAAATGGGCTCACGCTTACAGAAACAAACACAAATCAAATAGTTACGAAGTAATGGAACACTAATACAGGCCCCTGAAGCAGTACCTGTTCGGATATCACTATTCATTCAACTATCTGCTACATGAGAAAAATAGCACCCTAATGGTACACAGATCAAATAATCTGGGAAGTCCTTTCCCAGTGGTAGAACAGAACAGCAAAAGCATAAAACCACAGCCACTATTTTTGATTTCATATAGGAATTGCCTTTACTTCATCTGGCACATATGCAATTACTCAATTAGAAGCAAGCTAAACTCCAAAATTCTTTAGAGCACTGAAAAGGGAAATTGTACACAATAAACCTACTCTCAGTCAAATCACTTCAGAAGTATGGCCACCCAGCAATAACTGTACCTGGCCATGACTTGATTAAACTATATTACCACATTAGATAATCAATACCTGACTATTACCATAAAAAGCTTACATCGCTACCGAGTAATAACCACGGGCTGTACCTACATTAATCAAGAAACACTTCACCTGCAATAGGTACTTTTCCTCACATCACTGTGAGCGCCTCTTTTATCCCAACAACTAATTGTTAACATCCTAGTAATGTTGAAAAAATGCCCGGTAGATCTATAATCCAGTAGGATGTATGAGGGTAACTTTAATAAAGTAAAAAAAGGATTGCCCAACGTTCTTTAGACATGACCAAAAACAGATAAGACTTTGAAATCATGCAGGACTGGAAGCAGATGCAATTCTGCATTTAAAAAAGATCCTTAATAATCACTTGAAATGTCTGGCTAGGTAACAAAGGCAGGCCTGAGCCGCTAATTCTAAGAGACAATAGGCACATGCTAGCAAGATATAAGTTAATCCGTGTAAGTAGCAGAGAATCCCCAACCAAGAGGATTCATTGAAACGAAGCATAAAGTATTGAGCAAGATTGGTATCTCAAAGAATAGACATTCCAGAGATGAATTCACCTGTCTACAATTAAGACATAATTTAAACAGGCAGCTGATGCAACACTAACACTCAAATTTGAAATAGAAAATAAAAATTGCAATCCAAAAATTTTAAAGCCAAGGGCTGAAACACAAACCCGAAAACCTAAAATCAACGAAAACAAATTCACAAAATAAGCAGAGATGGGAAAAGTGAATCCACACCTTGCGCAAAGCAGTCGCGAGCTCGCCACGGGTGAAATTGGCGGCGGCGGCAGTCGTCAAAGGGATCCCATTACGGAACTGATACAGAGCCACGTTCTTCTGTATGTACTCGGTGAACTGAACCCTGCATCAATATAAATGAATATCACAAAACAAAAATACTCTAGAAACAACCACAAAAAACCTAAAATCAAAGGAGAGGGAAGGTGAGACCTGTCTCCGGGCTCACCACTAGCAGCGATGAGCTTGTGAGAATCGAGGACCATGATCTTGTCCTCGTTGGACTTGTGGACTAAGATGCTGTGCACCGCCGATGAATCCGCTGCCAATATCGCGAAGCCATTTCCGACAAGTCCGAATATGCACTCCATTTTCTTGATCTGCTCCTTCGAATGTCTCTGTATTTGATCTCTTTCGCTCCTCTTGCTTTCCTCAGAGGTCTCTTTTGTTCCCAGGGGCAAAAGAGCCTTCGGCTTCGTGTGCGACAAGTCGGGTGGCAACAGGTTCGGTTCGGGCTGATCCAATGGATTCTGTCAATGCGGGATGCCGGGTCAAGGTGTACGAAATATAAAGGGCGAATTAAATTACTAAGAGTTCAAAAAAAAAAAATCAGAAATCCCAATAAAAATTAACGAGTAACCAGCTTGAACATGTTATCATCAATTACTCTTTACTTGTCAATTTAGGATAATTAAGGGCCTGCTTTTTTAGTTCTTTGTTTTCTTGTTCTTAAACAATTTTATAAAATTGTTTTTTAGAATAAGTTTTGAAAACCAAAAACAAAAGAATTTGTTTGGATAATAATTTTAAAAAATCATGTTTGAAAAAGAAATCCATAAAAAACTACACTTAGTAGGTAATGATAAGTGGTGGATAGTAGGTGAAAAGAGAAGAAGATTTTTCAAAACTTTTCAAAACAAAAAATAAAAAACACAAAAACAAAAACAGAAAAATATATAAAAGCTGTCTTGATTTTTAAAGACATGTTACTGTTTTTTAAAACCAAATAAATGTTTTTGTTTTTTTTAAAAAACAATCAACTAAAAACAAATTACTAAATAAGTTTAATTGTTTTTCCGTTTTTAAAAACAAAATTTGTTTTCAAAATAAGAAACCAAGCAAGCTCCAAATCTCTTTTTTAGGACATGATTGTAATTCTCTCCATATATAAATTATTATTTTTTTCTTTTTTTTTTCTCTTCCCTCTTTTTTCTTGTTTTCATTGTTTTTTCATACCAAAGTATATAAAGGAATTTTGATATATAGAATTATATGATATTTGAAACTATTGAATTACGTGACTAAGGGTTGTTTGAGACCTTTTAGAATAATTATTTTTGTGATTTACAAAATAAAATTTTTTTTAATATACTTACCTCATACGCAATAAACGTGTCTTTTTTTTTAGCTAATCCAAATAGGCACAATTTCCTGTTCAAGTATTTCTCATCCCATGGAATGCCTGTTTTAATAAGCACATGTTTGGCCAAAAAAAAAAAAAACCACATGTAGGAATAGTTTTAATAAAAAATAAAGAAAATTCGCCCATGAAAAAAGTGAAGAGTATAATGTAGTTTATATTGCCAAATAAATATAAATATTTAGCACATAAAAATTTTTCTTTTTAATTTCCCCCTCTTTTGCTGTCACACAGACATTTGCTGATGATAAGAGAATTTAGCACATGCAGGAATGGTTTGTCAAAAGTAATCCTTACATACATACCTGTATGACACATGTTATATCAATTAATTTCTACGAACAAGTCTCTTATTTAATTAGAATTTCATTATTAATGTGAAATTTCTTTCCTTTTTGTAAAATGATGTGCAGGTTTTATCGGTAGTGTTACTTTGATTTTGATAAATTTTCAATATCCAACTGATCAAAATAAATCTTATTAATTAACGATTATTACAACTTTTTCTCCATTTATTTTCACCATCAAGCAAGTTTCTATCATGTGAATACAATATTGGCGTTAATCCAATATTATAACAGTTCCATTAACATTGCTCTTTGCGGAAGATGGTGGAGGCGGCCATGGCCTGGGGCATTTAGGAGAACCGGTGACATTACACGAAGCACCTTTCTGCATGCTACAAACACACTCATCATATGGAATTCCGGCACCGGCCGGTCGGCAATAGACGTGAACTTCACCGACGCCCCGGTAACAAGGACGACAGGTCTCCGTGCATTCCTTTATATCTGGGCAACCACCTCCAATGGTAGCTAGTTCGCATGCATTTATCACTGAACACGAACAAGCAATATTTTCAGACAAAATTAATAACTTAATTCTCTTTCTTGATTTTGGTGAGATGATTAAAGGTGTCTTATAAATAAGGACAATAATAAGAATATATAAGAGAAATAGAAAATGATATAGTGAAGGGGAAAACAAGGAGGGGTAGAGAACCTGAAGTGAATGTGAGCAGGACTAGAATTGGAGAAATAATTAATGAGAAATGGACCATTTGATCTTTCATTTCTCAGAGAACAGCTTGCGTTTGAATTGGGTGGGCTAGATGCATGTTATGTGAGATTTTATAGGGTGGAGAATTTAAAGTAATACCAATGCATTTAATGGGGATATATAGAAAATGAAAATATGTAAAGTTAATAGCATTAATAATGGGAAAGAGTCACAATGCACTTATGAATTCATGATATGCTCCATCCTGTTCTTTTTATAGGATTCTTTTAAAAAATAATTAAAATCAATGAATATGTAAAAATTAAATCTTTTTTCAAGTAGTTTTCTATTTAATGAGAGAACAAATAAAATAAGGAAATACTACCTCGGTCCTAATTATAAGAGCCAGTTAACTAATTTGAGGAGATTAAGAAAGTAAATTGAGTTAGTTATTTGTCTTAAATAAATGTTGTCTTTCTTAAAATATCCTTACTAATTAAGTATATTGACTAGAACTATCATTGTTAGAAGGGCTACTTTGAAGAAATATGTATAAATATGAGAGACAAAGTGGATTGGGGTCTTATATTTAGGATCAAAATAAAAATCAAACAGAATCTTATATTAAGGACTTGAGGTAGTACTAACGATAAGATAAAAGATGAAAGAAAATAAAGTATGAGAAAAAAAATAAAAAAATTAATTACACACAAAATTGGTAAATATAAATTTAATATTCAGACACCTTTAGTTAAGAATGTTATAAAAAAGATCAACAAATTCAAAAATTGAGATCTTATGAAAAGAATAGAGGGGAATATTGAACATTGATTAGGAAGATAGTTTTGGATCATTTAAAGCTTATTTATGATAATGAATAATTATAGTTTTGGATCCTCTACTTTTATGAGATTCACATGCTAAAAGGCTAGATTTGTTACATCTTTTCATATAAATATAAGAGCTAGTTAAAAAAATTTATTTTGGTCATAGATACAACATTTCAATTCATGTTATTTCTTAAATTAAAAAGTATTTTTTAAAAATCTCCCCCATGGATTACATATATTAAAAGGATTTTTTACCTCGTTTCTTATGCAATTGATGAAAAAGAACATTTTATGAGGCAGCTGTCATGCATTCTAGTAATGAGGTTTAGCTGCCTGGGTATAAATTTTTTTTTAATGAAAATCAATATCAAATTTTTTTATAAATAAATAATTAAATTAAATTTTTTAATCCCACAAATTAGTTCTCTAACTTATATATTTGCATGTTTGGAGTTATACTAATTATCTTATCTATGATATTTAACATAAGACCTAATTAACTAATTTGGAAAGATTAAAAAAATTAGTTAAATTAGTTATTTGCAACAAATAGGTGTTGTTTTTCTTAAAATGTTCTTGTTAATCATATGTCTTAGCTAAAAATATTATTTGATGAAACATTGAACATGTACAACTATTATAATGACTATTTTGGAAAAAATAGATAAATATAAGAGACAAAGTAAATTGTAGTTTTATATTTAGGATCAAATTGAATATTAAACTAGCTCTATATTAAGGATAGGAGGTAGTATCACTTCATGAAAATATGAAATAACTTGAACTTGATCCATAAAAGGTTATAATTTAATTTAAAATATTTAAAAATTAAAAAAAAGTGAGTTGGTGGATCAACCTGTAACGCACCTATAATGAGTGGGTTGGAAAAATTCCCACAGGCCCATGGCCCATAAATTGCAGTGAGCCAGCCCATTTTTTGCGACCTGACAGCCTATTTTGATTATTTTCAGTTTCTGGCTGTTTGGTTAATTCATTGTTTTGGAAAATTTTTTTTTACTTAAAAACAATAAGAAAGCTTGTTTGATAATTTATTTTTAGTTGGTTGTTTCTAAAAACAAAAAAAAACAATAATAAGTTTTTAAAAAATAAAAAGTAAATTTTTTTTTAGATATTTTATTATTTTTGTTTTTGTATTTTTTTTATTTTCTGTTTTAGAAAATTGGAGAAATCTTCTTCCTTCTTGCCTACCCCGCCATGTCAACGACAGGCTGACAGCCATCACTTGCCAAATATAATTTTTTAAAATAATTATCTAAACATTTTTTTATTCTTAAAACTTGTTTGCAAAAATTTAGAGAAAAAGCGAAAAGCAAAAAACAATAACAAATAAGCCCTGGGTCAATCTTGTGTTCAGCATAATCCGCAAAGAATAAATGAGCCATTATCAATTCATGCGAGTGTTCAACACACGCAATCAATATACATTCACGTAGTACAATACTACAATCCGCTTCATCATCTAAGAATTATTTTTTTAAACCTAATATCGTCCTCAAAGTATAAAAAAAGAAGCAATATTGCTAGAGCGGTTAAAGAAATGTTAATGGTCCAACATTAGTTTTTTAAGTGCTTGGGGCAATATTAATTACTCTTTATTTTTAGTAGTTCTGGAGTGGCATTGAGATAAAAACAAACTCTCAAATACTTATATGTACACTATATATATACACGCACACAACCCAAGATTCCCTTGTGATAACTGATCGAGCAGGCTGTGAAGCATATCTCTGGATCTTATAACTTTGTCATCATGCACATCAATGTTTTTGCATTTCTTGATCATTATGCTTCTTGTCTTTATATCCTTTATATTCTCTGTGCATAATACAAAATCTGAGTTGATAACTCAGCAACATCTCCATAAACGTGGCGAATTGAGCATTTTTGTGTTACCTGGGACTTGGCCAATAACGACACAAGTCACCCAATTAAATGTCCTTATAGCTTGTCCCGTTTGAATAGCTCAACACATGAATAAACACGTTTTATTTCCTCCCGTATGAAATAGTTTTGTTTGATAGATCATCAAACATTAAATGTGAATAATTTTCTTAATAAGATTCGAATTTTGATTTGTCAAGTTGTCAGAAATTAGTTTCTTTCACTAGATCAAACTCTTATCTGTATAAACAGATGCATTTTATACTATGTAAAATACATTACAAGTATACATTTAGTTTTCCTAATTTTAACTAAGGTTTATCTTAGTCTTTTTAATTTTTAAAATTTTTTAATTTTTCTACTCTTTTAGTCATACCACCGTTAACTGAAAAAAATACTGACATTAAAATTTGATAAATTCTTTTCAATATACAATTGATTTTCAAAATAATAATGACTACTAAAAAACAGAGTTAAGGTATATCCAGAACCCTAATCTTTTAATGCATTTAGCATTCTAAAATTAGAATGCTGAGTTCCAACAAAAAAAAAAACAATTAGAATGTTGAGAAAATAACGTCAGGGTGCTAAATGCTTTCAAGAAATAAGAGCAGGGGGCTAAATGCACCTAAGAAGTAAGATCGGGGTGCTGACTATACTTTACCCTTAAAAAATGTTGTTTGAGGCAAACGGTGTTATTAAAAGACTTGAAGGGATATTTTATAAAATTAAGAAATTAAACTAAAACTTTATAATGTTAAAAAGACCAAAGCGTACTTCTGGCTACAGTACATTAAACATCAACGCCATGACTTGTTATGTCTTCATTTTGGTTCTCTGGAAGCCATCACTGGATCTCTCCACTGTTTGATCACATTCATGATGCCATTTCCGATCCTGATCTTCTTACTATATATATCTACATATGGTTTATGTCGGTAATAGCTTAGTTTCAAGTTTCATTAGAATATATAGCAATCAAGCCATGCATTTCAGGGACTATTTTAATTAATTCATCACTAAGATTTAAAAGGGGTCATTAATTTAAAACATGGAAATGAAACTAAAAGCTCTAAGATATGTGCTATTGTCTATGAATTTATACTACATTCATAATCATTCAAATGTACAATATTCGGTCGCTAATCAGAATTGGATTTTCCGAGCGTTCTTCACAATCATAATTATTCTTCATCTCACTGAACTCTTTAATTTAACAATTTTATTTCTTACCTCTTATATCAGAAACAGAACCTACCACAAAAATACACAAACCTTTTTTTCTACGTATAGACAATTCTATTCGAGGCACTGAATGTTAGCACCTCTCACAGTGAGAATTTGAACATTAGTTTGTTATGTTGTGAGGAACTATGTTCTTCTGCTAGACCTAATTATCTGTTGGTAAAAATATATAAACTTGATGATTCAATTTTAATTTCTCTTCATCATGTTAGTTGGGCCCTGCCATATATATAGTAGCATCCTTATGGATCTCCTGAATTCATTAGGATAAGGACATGCGAGCAATGCAATATGATGATAACTTACAGTGTTTCTGTATCTGTTCACAACGTAGTATCCTACATATGTATACTGTACCATGTTCAATGTATCAGATTATTATATCTTCACGAAACGAAACATCGCCACTTCAAGTCCACATGTCCTTCATGCATGAGATCTGAATCAAACCTTACGCACGTACGAAACCATCTCCGTCATGATCTGCTTCTATATAATGCATCGACGGGTATATATTTACTAACGATGGCTTCTTCTTGTGGCACACTGTTGTAAGCGAGGCAGCCTCTGTTGCTGTTTTTTCTGGGTTCACTTTTCCTGGCAGTGACCTCTGTCTCTGTTGGCCTTGCCTTCTGGGAAAACCAGAATCCTCAAAGCCACCTTTGTGTCAAAAGATGTGAACTTGAAAAAAATATTGATGCATATCATAACTTTGCTTGCCGTGCACTACAAAAAAAAAAACTTTAGGCGACGATTTTCGGTGGTGACAAAAAAAGTCACTGCTGAAATTGGACTTTCAGCGGCGACACCAAAATGTTGCCGCTGAAACTTCTAAAAGTCACCGCTGAAAGTATCTTTCAGCGGTGACTTTTTTAGTTGTCGCTGAAAGTTTTCAGCTACGGCAACGACTTTTTAACGGCGACTTTGAAAGTCAATTTTTTTTATAGTGGTGGTCATTGTAGGTTCATCAACGACATGGAACTTGAACGTGATCCACTGGTAATTACTTAAGTTCATGTAGAACCTCCGATCCTTAACATATAGCTATTTGGAAATTGAACTTCATTTTAAATATAATTAAAATCTCTATATTTTGTTTTCCAAATTTGTAATTCATTTTCTAAACTGCAGTTATGATTATACATATATCAAGGGGTTTTCATTCAAGGTACTCATAATTAAAATGGGTATTTAAGAAAATCATCTCATATTTATTATAAATAATTAACTAACTTAACTAATTTTTTTAATGTATTCAAATTGATTAAGTAGTTTTTATGTTAACAACTGGGTAGCATCAGTTGAATGATTCAGTAATGTAATATATCAAAATGATGTTGTTATACATATATGCATTTGCCAGGAGCAAGGACATGGTCAAGGAATTAAGGAACGAGAAGAAGAACTGCGCGAACGTGCGGAGGAAAGGAAGCGGCGAGATGAACGACGTCGTCGAGAACGAGAAGAGGAACAACGTCGACGTGAGGAAGAAAGAAAGCAGAGAGAAGAAAGAACGTCATCGAGAACGAGAGGGAGAACGAGAGGAAGAACGTCGATGAGAACGAGAAGAAGAACGGCGAGAACGTGAGGAGAAAAGAAAGAAGCGAGAAGAAGAGAGACGACGTCGTCGGGAGGGAGAGGGAGAGGAGAAGAAGAAGAACAAGAAGAAGAAGATAGCCGAGAACCACATGGGAACCACCATTGTCGAGAACATGAAGAGGAAGGACAAGGTTCTCAGAATCAGGATCCTTATCACTTCCGATCTCATAGCTTTCAAACCCGCTTCCACAATGAACGTGGTCGCGTCCGAGTCTTCCCAAGGTTCGACCGGAGATCGCACCACCTCCGCTGGCTCCGAAACTATCGATATGTCGAGTTTGAATTACAACCACATTCTCTCTTTCTCCCCCACCATCGCGATGCTGAAGCTCTCATTGTCGTCCTCGAAGCCAAGTTTGAGACAGCCTTGTTCATTCATAATAATGGTAGATAAATATATTCTCATCAATCAACCATAATGAAGTATGCTTAATATAAGACCCATTTAACTAATTTGATTAGATCAAAAAAGTTAGGTAAGTTAGTTAATTATAAGAAATGTGACACGTTTTTTCTAAAATGCCATAATCATCTTTCTTAATACCTCATCTTCCTCTTCTACTTGATTATGGTTGAGGGAGTATCCATAAGAGTAATTTAGAGAAAATTGATAAATATGATAAATGAGTCTTATATTTAGGACTAAAACAACTCAACAATTGGGTCTTATATTAAGGACCGGAGGAGTACTAACTCTGATCCTAATTATAAGAGCTAGTTGACTAATTTGAGGAGATTAAGAAAAGAAGTTAAGTTAGTTATTTGTAATAAATAGGTATTGTCTTTCTTAAAATATCCTTGCTAATCAAATGTATTGGCTAGAATTACCATTGTTAGAAGGACTACTTTGGGAAAAAAATACATAAATATGAGAGACAAAATAGATTAAGATATTATATTTAGGATCAAAATAAAAATCAATCAAAGTCTTATATTAAAGATGGGAGGTAGTATATTACAGGAAGGGCCATTGCTAGTATTGCGAACCAGACTAACAGAGAGACCTTCCACCTGGAGGAAGGTGACTTGGTTAGGTTTCTGGCGGGGTCTCTGATTTATACTGCTAATGTTGAAGGTAACCAGAGGTTCAGAGCTGCCAACCTTGTCTTTCCCATCAACAGTCCTGGGCAATACCAGGTCATCAATCTTTAAAGCATCAACTGAATTCATAATATCCCTTCTCTGTTCTTCAAGTTTTAATCTTCACTTACAAAAATCTCATAGGGTCTTGCTGGTTTACTTCTGCACAATTTATATCCCTCTGGCAATCAAAACCCTCAGGCATACTACAATGCCCTCAGCGAGAAAACTCTTGAGGCCACGTCAGAACTAGTTTAAGTGATTATCACCTTGATAAGAACCTTAAGGTGCCGTTTGCTACAAAGTATTGAAAATGAGGAATGTGAATTGGAATTTAGATTGAGCATAAGAAATTACTTATTACATAGGATTAAACAAATCCATATATACGGGATTAAAGAATACCATGGGAAGAAGTGGTATTCCCCAATCGTACTTTCATGAGTTTGCCTAATTCCATATAACAAATAATTACTCATACTAAAGACTTTTTAATATTTTTTTCAATTACAATCGTAATCTATATCCCTCATTTTTAATACTTCGTACCAAACGAGATCTAAGTTCATCAGATCTGGACCGTCTATATCTAATTTGAATGGTCCAGATTTAAAATTTTTAATTAATTATTTTTAAGTAAAAAAATTATTTTTTTGAAAGAATGATAGTTAAGAGATTATCTCTATTTTAGATTTTATACATATTAAAATAATTATTTTGAATAAATAAAAATTAAAAAGAAATCAGATTTAGACCATCTAAATAAGATATGGACCAACTAGATCTGATAAGTTTAGAGTGCTTATCAAAGTGATAAGTACTGAAACTTGTTCCACCTCAATTTGAGAACCCAATGCATCATCATTATTGTAAATTTTTTCATTTGCTTGTTTTGATTAATTAATTAACGGTGTAATTAATGTTGTGAAATAGTCAGACTGCAATGAGATACTCCTCCAGTTCTTAATATATGACCTAATGATTAAGTTAATTTTAGTCCTAAATATAAGACTTTTTTTCTCTCATATTTATCAATTTTTTCTAAATTATTCCTATAGATACTTCCTCAATCATAATCAAGTAAGTGAGAGAGGAAGGATATTAAGAAAGATGATTATGGTGTTTTAGAAAAAACATACTATATTTTTTATAATTAACTAACTTACTTAATTTTCTTAATCTAATCAATTAGTTAAATAGATATTATATTATACTACCTCCGGTCCTAATTATAAGAGTCAGTTGACTAATTTAAAAAGATTAAGGAAGCAAGTTGAGTTAGTTATTTGTCCTAAATAGGTGTTGCCGTTCCTAAAATATTCTTGCTAATCATGTGTATTAACTAAAACTATAATTATTAGAAGAATTATCTTGGAAAAATTTGAGTAAATATACGAGACAAAGTGGATTGGGGTATTATATTTAAGATAAAAATAAAAGTCAAATAGGATCTTATATTAAGGACCGGAAGAGGAGTACAAAGGATTCTATTTGGACGGCAGAAACAGGGAGACAAGGACAGGGACAGAGTTCAGAAGAGGGAGTGATGGTGACATTGTCAAGGGAACACTCAAGGGAACTGAGAAAACATGCAGAATCATCACCTAGCTCAGGAAGAAGAAGAAGAAGAAGAAGATCATCCTCAAGTTCTTCGTCAGGTCCATTCAACTTGAGAAAGCATGAACCTCGTTATTCCAATGAATATGGCAGCTTGTGGGAGGCTCACCTGAGGACTTCCATCAACTTGGAGACTTAGATATCTCTCTCTGTCACTTTCCTCGATCTCAAAAAGGCAAATACTTTTCTAAACCATCATTTATACTTCAACAATATCCACAAATAATTTCACGTACCAGAGGACAACTGATTCTTCTTTTTTGGAATAATTAATGTTGTCATTAGGGGTCTCTGTTTCTGCCACATTACCATTCGAAGGCCATACGCGCAAGTTATTGAAGGAACAGCGAAACCTGAAATTGCATCCCACATCTGGCTAACCAAAGATCCGAAGAACCAGAAGGTGAAGAGATCAGTGAAGAAGAGGAAGATGAAGACCGAAGTGAAGGACAGATTCAGAGGGCGTCTTAGTGCTTAAAGCAAGATGATATTTGTCCTTGCAGATCATCCTGTAGCTTTCAGAGCTTCACGGACGAGTAACGTTAGGGCGATTGCATTCCTTCTTAATGCCAAGAACAACCAGAGAGACTTCATCGGGGCTACACACACACATATTTGTGATTTAAACTCAAGTGAACAAATTAATATTACCTTCTATCTTTAATACAAGATAGTTTGACTTTTAATTTGGTCCAATTTAAATTCATTCTGTTTCTCATATTTATCTACTTTTTTAAAAGTAGTTTTTGTAGTAGTTGTACATGTTAAAAATTCTATCAAATGGTAGTTTTAGCTAACACACATGATTAAGAAGGTTATTCTAGGAAAGACAGTACCTATTTATAACAAATAACTAACTTAACAAACTTTATTAATCTATTCAAATTATTCAACTAGCTCTTATATTAAGGATATGAGAGGTATTATTAATTTTATTAATTGGGGGAAAGCTAACTTGGGATGATTGTGTTTTGAAGGTGAGAGAACCAATGTGATTAAGCAGATAGATAGGAGAGTGAAGGGGATGGTATTCCAAGGGTCTGGCGAAGAAGTGGAGAGACTTCTCAGAAACCGGAAGGAATCATATTTTGTGAATGCTCAGCGTCGTCGTCAGCCAAGTTTTGAGGAGGAAGAAGAAGAGGAACAGAGGGCTCCATCATTGTCTTCCATTTTGGAAGCCTATTTTTGAACCATCTGCATACACACATATATGGGCATGTAACGGCTTTACATACTTTCTGCAAGGAGGCTTTTGCATGTCGTCAGAGCTCTGGCTTTTTACTACTATATATAATGAGATAAATAAATCAATCCCTCGCTTGGCGCGAAACTGCTTCTCTCTTCGTTGCCATTTCTTTTAATTTCCTTGTTTCAAGTCCTTGTTTATTCTTTCGGGTACTGTAATTCAACTCACATTAAGCACATTTTTCAAGTCTTTGTTAAATGTGAGCTCATGAGTTTAAAGTTACTATGCACTATGAGAAACATAATAAACGAGTCTTTGTATAACAAATCAAGTTTCGACTTTATGCTGAAAGAGATACTTACATTTAGTATCTTACGGTATTTTAAATAAGATTACTTCTAATAAAAAAAAATACTTGTGCTTAAAAAAATTCCAGACTGTTCATATCAAATTTAGACGCTCCAAACTCATGAAATGGAAGTGTGAGTTGGGGGGGTCTTTGTTTATTTGTCATATTATTGATGGTTTTGAGGATCCGTAACAAATGATTACTCAATTATGAGTATCACGAGTTCACGATAACAAACTAACAAAGTAAGATAAAGTAATGAAAAAAGTATTATACTTATTCTCATGTTTAAAACATATAAGATTTATTTATCTAATTTATATAAAATTAAGAAAGTTAATTATAGCAAATATGATATGATCTTGTTAAAATATTTTTATATAATATTAGATTAATTCTATATCAATTTATAAGTTAAATAAATTAATTTTTAAAAAAATAATAAATATGAGATAAAATTGATTTGAATATTATATTTAGAACTAAATTTACTTCTATACGGGGACATCTTGAAAAGTTTTAAGTCTTAACTAACACTTTAATATTGATTATTTTCATTGTTTATTTATATTCCGAACTGAGAGTATTGGGAGAAATTTTAAAGACAAAATTAATACTCTTATGTATTACTTAAGATCTTTAATATAAGAGCTGGATAACTAATTTGGAGAGATTAAAAAAATTAGTTAAGTCAGTTATATGTAACAAATATGTGTTGACTTCCCTAAATTACCTTTATTTAATTATGTACAATGGAACTACACTTGGATGGAAATATTTTACAATCAATATGGATATTTTTGAGAACATATTATAAATTTGGAAGATAAAATAGATTTCAGTCTTATATTAGGATGATCAGCTAACTCTTATATTTAGGACCAGAGGTAGGATTATATTAAAAGATTAGATTCCTTTTCTCATTCAAATACCTGATTATTAAATATCATTTGATAATACTTATAACAGTTGCTATTGCTAAAAGAATTTTTTTAAAGAAAATTAAAATTATTTAAATAACATTCTTTTTTATTTTAATGGGCTCTAATTAACTATGTAATTTAAAAAATTAGTTAAAATTAATTAATTATTTGTAAAATTTTAAATATACTTTCAATCTAAGTTATTGATTAGAAAGGTTTGGTTAATTAGTCAGAAAGTTTTAGTAATCAGAATTACTAAATAAAAAAATAATACTTTAAGTAAAAACATTGCACATTGTAATATGTGTGTGTACTATAAGAGTTTCTTATAATAGAGGTGTTGGAGATCAATTATATTTCAACATAAATTGAATGTAGTGAGTAACGAGTTTTAGTACCAAATTGATGAGGACCAAACCCCATCAGATGTCAAGTTCTAATTTAGATGATTTAGATTTAATTTTTTTAATGAGTATGAAATCTAAAATCTTAACTATTAAATTTTTCAAAAAAATAGTTTTTATTTAAAAAAATAAATAATTAAAAATTTTAAATTTAAAAGCACCCAAATCGGGTCCAGTACTCCTATTATCAAGAAGCAGATAAACGTGGCGAATGGAGAGTACATATTTTTTGGGGTCTTTGAGCGTATTGAGATTTGCAAGTGCCTAGGCCACATTGCCAATAACGACAAGACTTAAATGTATGAATCCTCGTGCTTATCGATCTTATTTATAAGCCAGTCACAATTAACATAATAGTACTACTACACTACTACTTATTTGTTATGACTCATTTATAAAAATACATTTTTTAACAATTTTTCATAATAGTAAAAAAAAATTATCACATCTTTCAAACTTATTTACGGGTAATTTTAAAACACTATAAAAAATATACTCCTTCCGTCCCTTTTTATAAAAAAATTATTTAAACGTGGAGAATGATAAAAAAGAGAGAATGTGTGATAAAGAGACGAATGTATGATGTTTTGAAAATTGAGATAATAAATAAATTAAGTATTAAAATAAGTTTCCTGCCGATATGAGAATCTTATTGGTGAGCGATTTGTAAGTATTTTTACAGGCGTTCTTTGAGTTTGGAGATATGTCCTCATCTTAATAAATCCCTAAGATTCAACTCGCCCAAACTCTCCTCTTTTTTTTAATAAAAAAAATTAAAATAAGTTATTAATGAGAGCAAAATAGGATCCAAGAAAATCTGAGAAATCTTGTGAGTGTTTTTTGAACATAGGAATAAGGCATAAGTGATTGTTGTTTCTTATAAAAACGTAGCGACGGGATAGCATTTTAACTAATTTTTATCATAGAATATCGAAATATAGACAATAAAGGTCCCTTCTTATCATTCATAACCAAACTTCATTGCAAACAGTGGTCTCAGCGCATTCGTGATCATTCTTCATCAGAAATCAGAACGCACTATATATAGTGTCATCATTAACTTCATGCTTTTTATTAAATTTATTTCGCATCCTGCAGTCTCTCTCAGATGATCAGAAATCAGAACCTGGTACCCAAAATTCATATTAACTTATACAGATTGGTTGCATTTCTCCTTGTATTTTATACGTCAACTTAGTTGGTCCCTGCCCATCCTTTCTGCAAACTCCTAAATTTAATTAGGATGAGGATACACACACACAAAAGCAACAATGAGCAAAGATGAAATAGAAGTTGCATTACAACTTAGAAACTGGCCACGTTCAATGTATCATGTTATTATTATCTTCATCTCTTGTCTCTTCATGAAACACTCGTCACCGTGCATGCCTCACCAAAGTCCACGTGTCATCCATGCATGAGAGGCGAATCAAACTATTCACACGTCCGTATAGCACTACATTGGCACTATCTCCTACTACTAGCCATTGCTTCAATGGCTTCCTGCGTATATATACCTGATTTGTCATTCTAAGATTTGCATCGACGAGTAGAGTGAGAGAGAGAGTTTGTGATCACTAACAATGGCTTCCTTGAAACTTCCTGTCTTGTTGTTGCTGGGTTCGGTTTTCCTTGCAACGGTCTCTGGTCTTGCCTTCGGGGAAAACGAGAATACACAAAACCAGAATCCTTATCACTTCCGATCTCAGAACTTCCGAACTCGGTTCCAGAACGAACGTGGTCGCATCCGAATCCTTCAAAGGTTCGACCAAAGATGCGACCACCTTCAATTCCTCCGAAACTATCGCTACGTGGAGTTGGAATTAAGACCACATTCTCTCTTCCTCCCCCACCATCGCGATGCTGAAGCTCTCTTTGTCGTCCTCGAAGGCAAGTTCTGAATATTCCTTAATATAATATTGTTCATTTATGATAATGGTAGATAAATATTCTTATTAAGAAATAATTATGGATTGATTGTTTATTATTACAGGAAGGGCCATTGCTGGTATTGCGAACCAGACTAATAGGGAGACTCTTCGCCTGGAGGAAGGTGATGTGGTGAGGGTCCCACCAGGGAATCTTGTTTACACTGCTAATGTCGAAGAAGACCAGAGGTTCAGAGTTGCCAGCCTTATTCTTCCCGTCAACATGCCTGGGCAATACGAGGTCATCAATCTTTAAAACATGAATTGAATTCAAAATTCCCCTTCTTTGTTCTTCAAGTTTTAATCTTTACGAACAAAAATCTCATGTGTTTGTGTTTGGTGATTCTTCTGCAGAATTTATATCCCTCTGGCAATCAAAACCCTCGGGCATACTACCATGCCTTCAGCCAGAAAACTCTTGAGGCCACCTTCAATGTGAGAACTCAATCATCATCGTATATATTCGCATAATTGTCATAAAATTTTTGTGCGTTCTGATAAATTAACGTTGTGAAACAGTCGAACTTCAATGAGATACAAAGGATCCTACTTGGACGGCGACAACAGGGAGGGCAAAGTGAGCAGGAGCAGAGTTCTTCAAATGAGGGAGTGATAGTAAGCTTGTCAAGGGAACACGCAAGAGAACTGAGAAGGCATGCAGAATCATCGTCAAGCCCAAGAAGACATGCAAGTTCATCACGGCCAGTAATCAACTTGAAAAACATTCAACCTCGTTATTCCAACAACCATGGTGCCTTGTGGGAGGCTTGCCCTGACCGGTTCCAGCTTCTTCGGGACTTGGATATCTCTGTCGCTTTGTTACAACTCCGAAGGGTACCTACAAAAACCATCCTTTATTCAATAACATGCACAAATTATTTCACCTACCATACGAGGAATATAACTCCATTGAATAATGTTGTCTATAGGGATCTCTGTATTTACCGCACTACAACTCAAAGGCCATAGTTGTAGCCCAAGTAATTGATGGAACAGCACAACTTGAAATTGCCTCCCCACATTTGGCTAACGAAAGATCGGAAGAAGAAGATGAAGAAAACAGACATGAGCAGCAGCAGCAGCAACAGGAACAACAACGTGGAGAAGAGCGAAGTGAAGGACAGATTCGAAGGGTCTCTTCTAGGTTGAATCAAGGTGACGCTTTCGTGGCCCTTGCAGGTCACCCACTAGCCCTCAGAGCCTCAAACAGGAATGATCTCAAGGTGGTCGCATTCCTTCTTAATGCCCAGAACAACCAGAGGAACTTCCTTGGAGGTATATAATATATATATATATATATATATTTATATGGGCTTTAAATTTCTGCTTTTATTAATCTTTTGGGGAAAAAACTAAAAGCTGACTTGGGTTAATTGATTTGGTGATGATTGAAGGTGAG